TGTGTTCAACGTTGACCACAATAGTCCATCCCCTGTACATTTAAGAATCATTTTGGTTTTTTTTTCCCTTACAATTATAGAATAATGTATTATGTTCTGATAATTTTTGTTATATTCTCGCTACTTTCATCAACAATTTTTTTTATATATAAAGCCATATATATAGCGCTTCTTGACTAATAAATTCATCTTTAATTTGACACGTTACCCTAATTATATTATTTGGGTTTAATAATTAATTGTTTAAACATATATAGATAACACTACATCACAGGCACTAACTATTAAAGAAAGAGTTAATAATCAGCTAGTCAACACTTTCCGGAAATAATTACTATTTACTACTAATTTATAGCCTAATCTTTTTCAGTTGTCTTCGTTTTTCTTTTCTTAATTATGTTAAATAGAAGGAAATTAAAGTTTGTCATTAACTTAGACAAAAACTGAGAGCTAAAGTTTTCAAATAACGGAAGTCCTCTTAATAAACAGTAAGCATTGCAAAATTTGATCAAACTTTGATAGCCATTTGGATCTTTACTGTTAATTAGAGAAATTCACATATATGGAAAAAGGTCAAAGGCGTGTAATGAAGACAAATTTCGTGTTTGTCCATGGTTTAGGACACGGAGCATGGTGTTGGTACAAGGTAATAACAACGTTGATATCCTTAGGTTACAAGGCCACTGCTCTTGACTTGGCTGCCTCCGGCGTCTATACTATAAGGAATCGGAACAAGTCAAGTCTCTCTCCGACTATGTTGAGCCGTTGATGCACGTCGTCGAGCTTCTTCCGTCGGACGATCGCCTGTTCTAGTCGGCCATGGCATGGGTGGACGACTTGCCATGGAAATGTTCCCAAAGAAAATTGCTGCTGCTGTTTTTGTTGCTGCTTATATGCCTGGCCCTGATTTCCCTTTCTCACATATCACTCAACAAGTACATATATTCTCGACTTTCTTACTTTATTCTACTCGATAAATTTAGTAAATCGTTTTATATATAAGGTTGCTCTGAACTAGTTGCTGCTTGACTTTCTATGTCGGTTGCGTTAAACTTTGTTTTAGTTCTTAAGTACAAATGTTTCAACAATCCCACGTTGACTCATGCCTAGCTTGATGAAACCATCGAAACAAGATTGTTTTAAGTTGAGTTTAAACTGTAGTATAATTTAATACATATAATCATAGACTAAGCCAGACACAAAGAAGTTCAAGATGGTAAACGTTTATTGAGAATTAAATTTTGGAAAAAAATTATCTTCTTCTGATTTTATTTTTCCTAAATGTTTTCCTTTTATTGCTCAATTTGCAGTCAAATCAAGGGTCAGATTTTCTCAAGGACAACAAATACAAATATGATAATGGTACTGATAAGCCCCCAACCGCTGTATACTTCGGCTCTAATTTTCTGTCATCAAAGATGTACCAATACTCGAGAGCTGAGGTTAGTGCACTTTACACATTTATAGTTTATCATAATTCTTCGAATTATCATCTAATACTTTTAGAAAAACAATCTATGTGCCATATAAATATGTTTTATGCAGGTCAAAATAAAAATACTTTTAGAATAAAAATAATATTATCATTATACTTGTTGTTGGTGTTGTGTTGCCGCTATTCTTGTCACATAAAAAGATTTAACTAAACAAATATAAATTTATTCTTTCTAACAATTTAAACTTGTAAATGAGAAATGACTGCAAATTATAACATGACATATTTAAAGATGTCACTAATTTAATTTTATCGTCACCCTGTCATCAGTTCACATGGTTGGTCCGTTCAAAGAATTAGGACAACACATGAGGAAGTTTATTAAAAATATAATCAAATGTAAATAAACGTATAAAATTTTAGATGACAGGGCCATATAATTCAACAAATATTATCATCATGTCATTACTCTCTAGTACGTTGGACGAGTCAATAGAAGTAAATAAATCATATTATAAAAGAATGCATTTAATAATTAATTATCAGCAGTTGCATTCTTCTCTATTGGAACAGGATATGATCCTTGCTTCGTTGTTGATGCGACACACTCCAATGTTCCATGATCCTGAAGTGTTAAAAGAAGTAGAACTCACTAAAGAAAAGTATGGTTCGATTCCAAGAGTCTACATTATGTGCAGTCAAGATCTGTCAATGAAGGCAGATGTTCAACGATGGATGATTGATAAAAATCCACCCCAATATGTCTAGGTTCATATCATATGGTCATGTTCTCTAAAACTCAAGAATTCTGCTCTCGTTTGATGGAAATTGCTGAAAAATACCATTGAAATTGTATGAACAAGATTTGTATAGGAGTTTAGCTTTGGCAATTTTAAATACTTTTTTGAGTTGCTACGCAAAGACTTTCGACTTTATTTGATTAGCTTTGACAATTTTAAATACTTTTGAGTTGTTACGCAAAGACTTTCGACTTTATTTGATTTTACATTGTCTACCGTATGAGTGTATGTATTATTCACCTTCTTTTTTTTCTTTTTTTTTTCTTTTTTTGTATTTACATTTTCTACTATGTGAGCCTAGTATTGTTCATGTGTATCTTTCCTATTGTTGTTTCATTCCTAAATTAGAATATATTAGATTGCAAGAACGTATGTTATATATATCATATATTTAATTCATGAATTTTCAACTAGAATAATTGTGTCATTTCTCATTGTTCGTAACAATATTACATGTAAACCAAAATGTGCGTTCACAAACTTAACTTTCTTACTTTCATCTCAGTTCATTATGTTACTTTCACTTAATTCCTTTTGGTTTCTATTTTAACTAATTGATATATATAGTTGATTTGACTTTTTCAGGTAAAAATCAAATTTGAGTTAACTGAACTGTGAACACTCCTTTTTAAATAGATACTAACATATTTATAGACGAATAATTACACATAAATTGATCCAAACTCCAAAATTGAGATTGTGCAATCTTAAGAATTCACTCATACAACCAGATCAACCATTTTAACTTTTAAATGTTATAACTCCTATTGCATCCTGCATGCCGTGCTTATCTAGCATTGGTTGTTCTATATATAGTTCCATTTAAATTCACACTCTAAGGGTTGAATATAAGAAAATGAAATTGAATGCTATTTTCTTTAACGAAAGAAAAAAAAATGAGGACCGTTACTAGCTGACCTATTACAGATATGATACACGTCACCTTCTCGTCAGAAAAAGAATAAGAATAATGGTCAAACGTGAAAAGTATGTGAAGAAAGTAAGAAATCTGATATCAATATTAAAATTTTCACAGAAATCTGATATCAATATTAAAATTTTCATGTTTTTGAATTTTATTCTTTCTTTCAGATTCTTTTTTGCTTAAGTTTACGAGCCTAATAGCAAAAGAAGAAGAAAATCATTGCCTAACAGGTTTACATAATCTAAAACATGTAAGATGTGAGTCGTTTTTGAAAGAAAATTCCAATATTGTTCCCTTAACCTTATTAATACATCTAACTACTTACCATGTTTCAGAATATGCAAATATTGTTACCATCTTATCATGCATCTTACCCTTTATATTTCATTTGCATTTCTTCAGTTCTTCCTCACTAAATCATCAAAACAAAGAAAAAATTTCTTGTTCTAAAAAACACTTCTGTTTTATCTCCCAAGAAATTAAAGTCACTGATAAGCATAATGGCTGATGAAACCAATAACTACAACACAACCAGCCAAGGGCCGATAGTAGTTTACCGCTGCGATAATTGCCGTAAACTCTTCTCGTCAAGCCAGGCCTTAGCGGGACACCAACACCTCCATAAGGTTCAAGGGACTTGGGTAAAAAGTCACCACCACAAGTTTCTCTTGCCACCTCATTATCTCCCCGACCTTAACCGTTTCATTGCTCGTAACAACAAGTCTATCACCGTACGCAACCGTGGTCGGGGCAAGCCGCGAACGTTCTTTGAACCGCAGCCGATGGTGCAGGAGCCTCTTGCTGTTGCACCTGCACCTGCAGTCGCCACTCCTTTGCTTGCTCAGGCCCTCGTGCCGGCCCCGACCCCTGTCGTCCCCCATCGTGGTAGGCCAGTTATTCAACCGCAGCCGACGGTGCAGGTGCCTCTTGCTGCACCTGTACCTGCGCCTGCCACTTCTTTGCTTGATCAGGCCCCAGCTCTACCTCTTGCTGCTGCGCCTGCACCTGCCACTCCATTGCTTGCTCAGGTCCCGGCCCCGGCCTTGCAGCTTGCTGTTGCACCTGCACCCGCCACTCCTTTGCTTGCTCAGGCCCCTGTCGCCCGTTGTCGTGGCAGGCCACGGTCAATTATTCGACCGCAGCCAATGGCGGAGGCACCTCTTGCTGCTGCACCTACACCCGCCACTCCTTTGCTCGTTCAGGCCCCAGCCCCGGCCCCTGTCGCCCGCCCTCGTGGCAGGCCACGGTCAATTATTCGATCACAGCCGATGGTGCAAGTGCCTCTTGCTGCTGCACCTGCACCTGCGACTCCTTTGCTTGTTCAGGGCCCGGACCCTATTGCCCGCCTTGAAAATCAACTGGCTTTATTTCAGAATCGTTTGAATTATTTTAAAGGTGTGGCTGCTAGGCGTGAAGAATCAACACATTCATCCACTGGGAGTACCAATACTATTACTGTTGATAAGACTAATGGGAAGAAGAAGGTTGAAGAGAAGGTTGAGGAGCTTGACTTAGAGCTTAGGCTTTAGGTTTTGAGGGCCCATGTCATGGTTGGAGGCTTTGCTGTTTCGTTGTTGTTGTCTTATCTTTGTTGACATTTTGCTTTGGTTTAGGGTTTATGTTTTGAGTCCTTTTGTTGTTTTAGTATTGCTTCTGTTGTCCTTTTTATTTTCTTTTTGTGTCGAATGTTATGGGTGGTGTTAACAATCTATGGAAAACATGTCAAGTTTTTTATTTTATCTTGCAGTCTGTATCAAGTACTTTAATTTGTCAAAAATGTTGATCCACTAATTACTAGCTACTCTTACTATCGTTCTTCCTCGTTTAGTTTTTTTTTTTT